AGTGAACAGCAGTCCATTTTGTGAGGAAAATCAATTTCATGCCACCTACTTAAGCGTGAAAGCAATGTACAGCTAGTATCGAAAGAAATTTCCAAACAGGCGCTTTTGTCATCAATCTTACTTGGGATGCTGGACTCCTAAGAGATTTCAGTCCCGAACAACTAGCTGTTTCATCTTCGCAGTGTTTGAGCTGTTGCGCTTCTTTGTGCTGTTTCCAGCTGCAGCCCCCTTAATCCCTTCCGCCGAATACTAAATCTCCCCGTAAAATGAACTAGTTCCAGGGGGGACCCCAAATATCAGCAAATGTCAGAAATGGTTTCCAAGACTACTTTAGAACGGGAAAAGCAACTGTTAGAAGGGCAGCAATTAAGAGGAATCTAGGACCCCTCAGCCCTCCACCATAACCATTCAGAATGGTATTGGAGATAAATAATACCCCGGAATATAAAATGATTCCTGGCTTTTTTTGTTTTTTTTTTTTTTTTTATCTTGGGGGGAAGCGATAAAAAAATGCCCAATCCAAAATGCAAGCCATTGGATGGGCAACCATGGCTATGGGGGGGCGTGGGATGGAGTTCATGACGAAAGGAAAATAAGGTCTTCACCTGTGCGTGAAAGACAGAGACGACCAGTTCATTCAATCCAGAACAGAACTGCCCAGGTGTCCGGCGATGCAGGCCAACACATGCTAACACGCCCGGTGTTGTCATGGTGCTGGGCCACCCATTCCATTATCTCAAGATGGTGAACCACGTAGCTCCTGTAGTTTAGGGTTCGCCGTAAATGACCGTCCGAGCTAGCACGAAGCAACGCCAAGGCCAAATTATCTGATTTTCCTTAAGATTCGACTCAGGCCATTGGCCAATGCTATCTAGCTAGAGACTTAGCACCATCCGTGTTGAACCCGACAGCTCCCACGCAAGCTCCCGATGAAAAATCACGAACACTTGATGGCACGTGCAAGCAGCTCGTTCGCTGTCCTTGTCAAAACGAGCACAATGCGTACCTACATGGAAGTTGTTTGCAAGCTTGACGACGGTAGAATACACTGTTCCGTCCAACATTCAAGGAACCGTCAACCAAAAACCCATTCCGTCTCCGCGCCTTTCGGCGAAAGCACAGGCCGCACCGGCGTCCTTTAAGCCACGAGGCTTGCTTTGCTTCAGAAGCGTTCTTTTTGCAAATTCTTGCTTTATGAGGCCCGGGCCGCCCACGCTCGCCCGGGGCTTTGCCGGAGTTGCGGCCTCGCCCCCCATGGCCGCCTCGAAGGTCAGGGAAGCCGTCCCCGAAGGCGTGGTAATCGTCCTGGTCCTCCGGGTGCAACTCCCTGTACCTCGGAGAAGAGTCATTCTCTAATCCAAAATCAAACTCCGGATCGGTTGGATACCGCAGAATACCACTGGCAGACCACCAGTAAACCACCAAAAGACCAAGACCACCGAGTGAGCAGCAAGAGCCAGCAACAACAACACCATGACAGTAGAAGACCACAAGAGACTACTCAGAGGTCACAACGTCATCAAGAGACCAACATCAAAGCCCAGGAGACCGGGAGACCAGCAAGGGGGCAGCAGGAGACCAGCAGCACAGCGCCATGCAGCGCCAAAATGTTTTCCCTCCGATACAAGTGCATTCGGAGCCACACCCGGGATGCTTTCCACTTTCCACCAAATACTGGCGGGATTTTCGAAACCCTCGAGAGCGTGGAACCATTTTCCCCAAATACAAGGCTAAGAGTGCCAGCCGCCAGCACGCAAATGCATTCCCCCAAGTTGGTGCGCTCCGGGCTCCGTCGACTTCTGCTTCCCTCCTTTAGATTGCGAGATCCACCCAAGCTCGCTTCTGCCAAATACTACTCCGATTCAGTTTGTTCCAAAGCAACAAAAAGCCCATGCCACATTATTTACAATGAATCCTGGTCTCGGGGCGTGCGCCTCGGAATCAAGCAAATCCTACACAACCTATCGGACGTCTGCAACAAACTATGTGCTGACCACAACGGGGGACCTGCGCCGTGCGGCCAAGCTTCCTGCCTAAAATGATGCAGGGATTCGAAGTGTAGCACTGGCTGTAAACAATTTTAACAAGGCGCAAGAGGCCTTTGTTCCAAGCGTGCTGCGCATGCACAGCAATCAACACTCTCGTCATTTCTATCGCAAAAAGCCCTAAATTTGTGACCACACTGCTTGCAACAGAAAACAAAGTCGAAACATGCTGAAACTAGACGAGTTGCACCCAAGGCGGGGTGACAGGCCCGCCGGCCCGCCTAGGCGAGCGAGGCCCCGGCTCACGGCGCGCCGCCACCTGTAAACTGTGTTTGCGCACGGTTCACTCTGCAAGTTCCCAGAGACTTACTCTTCAGATCTCAGCAATTCAGAAGATTGCCGCCAAGGGATATCGGACTAGCACACCGACATCACTGCTACTGTTGCTGCTGCTGATGCTGCTTCTTGCAACTTCTGCCAGAACACCTTTGGCCGCGAATGCGCCACTGCAGCTG